GAAATCAACCCTGAGTGCTCACTGGAAGGACAGATCTTGAAGCTGAGGCTCCAATACTTTGGCCATCTCATGAGAAGAGAAGACTTCCTGGAAAAGACTCTGATGTTGGGAAAGTGTGAAGGCAATTGGAGAAGGGGACAATAGAGGATGAGATGGTTGGACAGTGTCATTGAAGCTACCAGAATGAATTTGACCCAGGCAGTGAAAGACAGGAGGGCCTGGTGTGCTCTGGTCCATGGGATCATGAAGAGTTGGACATGACTTAACGACTGAACAACAACAACATACCTCCAGTTTCCCCCCTCCCATGTCAGGAGACCAAATTATCTTTATAGTTTAGATCATCCCCAAGACTGCTCGATTTTCACCCTTGCAAGATGCAATGTTGTACTAACTTGGTTCAGGGCAGATTTAGGGGATTACCCACAGAGCAGAGAATGTGCCTGTGTGGCTAGGGAGCGTTTGAATCATTGCAGCACATGTTGTTGTACTGTATGTGGTATCAGGATATCCGCCTGCAATATGTGAGCCCCTTCCTTTACTCTCACTCTGGCTGGGGCAACCCGGATAAAATCCGGCACCTGCTGAGTGGCACTAATAAGGAACTTACCCAGACAACAGCCAGATATATCCATTCCATCATGCACAGGCATTGCATTATGCTGTCACATGCCATTGACCCCTAATGATATCATCTGGGTATCCCATGGCATATATGCTTTTTAACTTTTTACCATATCTTACTCTCTTGTACTGTATGTCAAAAAAGGTTCTGAAACTGAAACTGAAACTACATACAGTGGGGTCTTGACTTGAGAACTTAATCCGTATTGGAAGGTGGTTCTCAAGTCAAAATGTTCTCAGGTCAAATCTGCATTTCCCATAGGAATGCATTGAAAACCATTTGATCCGTATCTGCTCTTTTCCGTCCATAGAAACTAATGGGAAGCTGCTATTCTGCCTTCGACCACTAGAAGGGGATATTTTGTTTCTTTTTTTCTTAGGTCAAGAAAGGTTCAGGGAAGGCAGGGAAAATACAGTCCAGGCAGTACAGTACCAGGCGGTCTGAAGACTGTCTCCCAATCCACTCTCTAAACGCTGGGAGGAGTGAGGCAGCAGACAGGCACCCTTTTCACTGGCCAACAGTTAACTGAAAGTTCAAATTTTGCACTTTCCCTGCCTCCCACGTGGTTTTTTTCAGTTCTTAACTCAAATTTAAGTATGTAAGTCAAGTCAATATTTTCCTATGAGAGCGCTTCTTAAGTCAAAATGTTCTTAACTCAAGCCGTTCTTAAGTCAAGACCCCACTGTATTGGTAGGAAAAATCAGCTATGAAGGGACTATTAAGAACTGCAGATTAGGCTGCCTAGATTTGCAGGACTGAGATATGGAAATGTTAGACATGGAAGAAATATGAAATTTTACAGCTAGTTAATTTTTCTCCAAATGCAGTTTGGATCAATAATTATCCATCTTTATTAAATTTGCATATGTATTACCGCATGGGCCTTGCTTTTCCTTCAGTAGCTCCTCCAAGGAATCCGTTGCTCTTTGAATTTTCGCAAGCAAGCTAAGAGAGGCATGCTGGAGTAGATTTCTTTCACATAAAAAAAAAATTGAATTAAAAAAATCCGATCAGCATCACTTTTGTGTTTTTATCTTTACAATATGGCCTCTTCCTCTTTAACATAGAGATAACATTAACATAAAAATTATCTAATTTAGTCTTTAGTCTAATCAGATTTGTAGTCATTTTGGTTAATTACGAAGAAAGTTCCAGTTGTGGCTACTGTGGCATACCAAACAAAACACTGCAGTTTAGTCCAAAAGTGTACAAGGTTTATATCTAGTTTAAAAGATTGATATCTGGATTATTAAACTTCCTTACCCAGGGGAAGAATCTGGGAAGAGCCTTTTAAGTGACGTGACCACGTGGATTACCATATGCTCCAATTCATCCAATGATGAGAACTCAAATTGAAAAGAAGACTCATCTGTTTCTATGACAATCTGAAGAAAAGAAGGAGGGAGATATATGGTATCTGGTATCCCTTCCTAGCCTGAGATAATAAAACAGAAACCACAATGCTGCCCATGAGTAGGTTAATTATTCCCCCAGAATACAGCGAGGGACTGTAGTGCCTTAATATTGATGATAAAGCTCTATGTGCCTTGTGAAGTATACAAGTTTAATATACACATTTAGGCCTTATTTTATTATGCAATTTAGACAGGAGACAGAGAAGGAAAGAGAGTTTATGCAGAAAAAGAAATAAAAAAGTAATATTAAAAACGGGGGAGGGAAAGTAAAAAAAATTGTGTTTGATGAAAAGTGCAGCAAAATTATTATAAAACTGATTACACAGTTTCCTTCCAAGTTTAAGAAAAAGTTAAGAATTATCACCTGGTTTGCTTTTCCCACTTTGATCAAATGCACTGCTAGGAAGCTGAAGCTCTCCTGTACCTGCAAATGGAAACCTGCAGAAATTAATTGGCTTTCCATGATTTAGCATCGTTATCAGGTAAAAGGTAAAGGTTCCCCGTGACAATTTTTGTCCAGTTGTGTTCGACTCTAGGGGGCGGTGCTCATCCCCGTTTCCAAGCCATAGAGCCAGTGTTTGTCCAAAGACAATCTTCCGTGGTCACATGGCCAGTGCGACTTAGACATGGAACGCTGTTACCTTCCCACCGAAGTGGTCCCTATTTATCTACTTGCATTTGCATGCTTTCGAACCCCTAGGTTGGCGGGAGCTGGGACAAGCGATGGGAACTCACTCCGTTGTGTGGATTCGATCTTATGACTGCTTGGTCTTCTGACCCTGCAGCACAGAGGTTTCTGCGGTTTAGCCCACAGCGCCACAGATTACACCACCCTTGGAAATATTTCAGGCATTATGCAAGACAGAATATGAAATATGAGAATCCCCACACTCTTTCAGGAGTGCCCCACGTTCTTATGATACTTGAAAAAAGCCCACGGACAGAACTTACCTTGAATGGGAGCTTTTTTGGAACCACCAATGCTCTCCAAGGCATCAATATCTGCACAAAGGGACAAAATCTTTAGCTGAGGCCGTCATATGTATGACATGATTCCCAAATAATATATGATTCCTAAATTTGGGAATAATATAGAATATTCACCTTATATCAGGCAACCCCCCCCAAAAAACCAACAAAGACTTGTGACTCATTTTAGTGGTTTTGTAGACACATCCACTTCATATGGAAACAAAATAGCTTAAAATGCCACTTTTGTTATTTTGTTTTGTTTGGACTTCGAAAGATGCTTGCCCACACAGCTACTTCTTCCAATATCCACCTAATTTTGTTGTTCCTCTTCCCTTTCCTCCTGTTCTGCTCATCATATGAACATTTGATAAGACAGTCATGTCACTGTATATTAATATTACTCTTCCTCACAAAGAAAAAGAAGCTATAGGTTTACCCTTCATTTAGATTCCCTTGCTAAGTTTGGCAAGTTTTCCGTTTCACCATTCGATCCACTGAAACCACAAATTGGCAGTAAAGCACAGGTCAGGGGTTTTTAGCAACAGTTTATTGTGTGCCCCTTTTTCCTCACCAATTTCATATGTGAAGTAGATCCTCATAGCCTTGTTACCATAACATAGTGGGGTGAAAAATCATGCATACTGCATGAGTACCTTGGAGGGTCTTAAACCTCACAGACAGAATTCTAGCTCCTGTCCTCTTAAGGATGCTGGCCATAGGGACTGGCAAAACGTTAGGAAGAAAAACTTCCAGAACACAGCCAAATTTGAATTTGGGGGGAGGGGGAATGGATTGTTCCTTTCAAAAGACACATGTAAAACTATGTTGGCTACAGAGAACATTTAACAATGTTTAGACATTTCAAAAGTAGTATTTAAATTGCTACCGTATTTTCCCTGAAAATAAGACAGGGTCTTATATTATTTTTTGCTCCAAAAAACACAGTAGGGCTTATTTTCAGGGGATGTTTTATTTTTTTCATGTACAACAATCTACATTTATTCAAATACAGTCATGTCGTCATCTTCTGGTTGCTGCACAATGGTTTCACTTAGCTAGGGCTTACTTTTGGGGTAGGATTTATAGTACCAGGATCCTGAAAAAATCACACTAGGGCTTATTTTCAGGTTAGGCCTTATTTTGGGGGAAACAGGGTAATTAAAATATTGGTGTGCTCCTGCAGTGCAGTGATAGCTGTGCTAGCTCTATGCTAATTTTTTTATCTCTTGTTTTGACCTTTTGAAATGCTGGTAGCAGCGCAATTAAAAAGGCATGCCATGCCATAGTAGGTTTCAGTAAATGATCTGAGCATGCCTCCTGACAGAAGGAAATGGCAGTGAAAAAGGACACAGGGAAAGCTCTGAGTGTTACTGTGTACTTGAAAAGGAAATCAAAATTAGGACAAGCGGTGGTTCTAGCTGCTGTATATGTGCCAAGCACTCGGAAGTCCAGGAACCACATTGTCTCAAAAGAGACAACATTGAAAATGTATAGAAAATTTGTAGAAACAAGCAAAATGTTATTTCAAGCTGTAGAAATAAAGATGAATCAATCCCAGAACGCACAGCAACATTTGTTCCTGTGATCTTGGAAACAAGGTAGTTGGTATGCAAAGAATTTGTGAAACATCAGATGTTCATACAGATCGAGTGCTGGATCTCAGCTATCATTACATACCAGGATAATATCTTCAGTTTTAGATTTGGCCTGGAAGTAAGCATTCAGCAAGATGAATTCCTCTGTTACAAGCAAGTTCGTTATGGTATCTGAAAACGCAGTAACACAGCATGAGTGGGTGGTCTGTGATAGTAGACTGGCAGCAGCTATTCATTTTGAAAAGCCCTTCAGGAATATTTAAACAAATTTGTGGTGAGCAGTCATTTGCAGAAAGAGGCAGGCAAAATGGTAGATCACGTGAGCAAAGTGAACAGTTACTCTCACATAACGTTTGAATAAAACTGGGGAAAGCAACAAAGTTTTGTCATGGTGGGTGGCAAATTATGAGAATTCCATTAGATGCTATATACTATATAATATTTTAATGAATAAAACCACAGAATGAACAAGAAAATTAACTATTGAACTTTAGGGTCTGTGAATTAAAACATTTGCCAATCAGTAGTAGCACAATTGTTGCGGTTCTGACAATTATTAGCCTTTTCCCCAACCTCAGGTGCTATTAATGTTTTTAATAAGCATAAAATACGAAGACATAACCAGCTGTTCAATTTTTTTTAATGGTGTTTTTTGTTTTTGTTTGAACAAACAGGTCTGCCGATTTTGTCTGTACATTCTGTCATGTTACATTCTCCATTAACAAGAGATTCTAGACCTTTTATATTTAAAATATGCTGAAAATTATACTTTCCTGATAACTTTGCCTAATTTTTTCTGTTTCAAAGGGAACTGGTCCACTGGAACAATTTTCATTAAACTACTACATGTGGTGAGGTTTCACAACAGTAAGCACGCTCCTTGTCTAGCTCAGGAATTTCAAACTCTTTCTTAGTCCTTTTGAGCTTTCTGTGGAATTCCGAGTTAAACCAGTTAGTTTAAATAGAAATAAATGTAACACGTCACAAATACCATTAATTTTTTGGTTCTGAGCAGTGACCTTAATTTGCCTCCTAACTTAATTTTGCTAGTCCTGATGACCCCAGGAGAAATGGCTGTAAGACATCTATCCCATTAATTAAACTGAAATTATTGGACATTTCAAGTTCTTTCGATTGCCCTCCCCCCCCTACAGATGGCCTTCTATATCAAGCCCAATTGTCAGTAACAGTTGAGACAATTGCAAGCCAGCAATGTTTCCATTAGAAGAATCAACTATCAGAAACAATATTCAGAACTGAGATGGCTGGAGTGGTCCCCCCGCTTCTGCCAAATGACACAAAGTCCTTTGCTTACCATATAGCTCTGCTGGAATATTTTTGAGACAATCATCCATCTTCTGCATCCTACGCAGGCAGAAGCAGCTTGGGGCCCTCTGCAACCCACAGGCACAATGAAGCTGTTTCCACACATGTATTTGCTCAGGCAGCACGCAAGCGTTTCCTACCTCATCACCTCTTCCTGTCTCCCACCCACCTCAAAGGGAAAGACAGCTACCAAGAAAAAAGCAACAAGTAAAAGCAAAAATGCAGATGACTAGCTCATGCAGAATTTTTTTTTTTTTTGTAGATGAGGTCCATATAAAGTGCAAACAACATATCATTAAACTGGTTCAGCTGATAAAAAGAGTCTGGGCAGAGAAAGTAGGCATGCTTTTGTCTTGTTCATATCAAAGGACATCAGTGCATCTGATGAAAAGCCCTCACATTTTGACTGGTTTTACTATAGCTGGCTAATAGTACAGTGGAACCTCTACTTACGAATGTCCCTACCTACGAATGATCCAACTAATGAACAGCTCCGGCCGCAAAATTTTGCTTCTACTTGCAGCCGGAGCTTCAAGATATGAATGAAAAAGGCAGGGGGAAAAGGCAGGAAATTCAAACTGTTGGTGGCAAAGAGGCTGCTTCTTTGTAGCTCTTTCGTCCCAACGGTTAGGAAAAGGGAGGCCCAGCCTCCCAGGTTTCCAGCACAGCCACCACAGACTTTCCTGGGGTTCGCCGCAAGCACCGCCTTTCTCCCCCACTGCGCGGCTTCTCCGCCGCAATGGGAGGCTTTCCCGGGGCTTGCCCCAATTGCCGCCTTTCTCCGCCGCCATCTGCTCACCACCTTTCTCTGCCGCCATCCACTGCCGGGCCAGGGTTTCCACGCTGCAGCAAAAGGCGTCACTTGCGGTGAGCCCTGGGAAAGCCTCCTATGGAGGCAGAGAAGCTGCGCAGCAGGGGAGAAAGCTGGCGGCGACGGCAGAGAAGCCCTGGTCTGGCAGCAGTGGCTGGAGCCCGGGAGACCTCCTGGCAGTGGCGGTCGAGGCGGTGGAGGTAAGGTGCTCCTTCTAAAAAACTGTTTTGGGTGGCTTTTGCAGGGTGGGATTGGGTTGGTGGGGTTATGTTTCTTTTTTGTTTTGGTTTTTTTTGGTAGCCCCAGGGGCTTGCAGTGTTTTATTTTTTATATTTATTTTTGGTATTTTTTTCTTCAGCCAGAACAGATTAATCGGTTTTCAATGCATTCCTATGGGAAATTGTGCTTCTATTTATGAACGTTTCAATTTACGGCCACCGTTCCGGAACAGTGGCCATAAATTGAAATGTCCGTAAGTAGAGGTACCACTGTAGTAGTAAAGAGTATTAGTACTGGACCAACAAAATCACACTACCTTGAAAATTGAAGCTATGAAGACAAATCAATGGAGCATAGTTTTATTAATGGTACCTGTCACAACAAACTGATTCACTTCATATCTGGCAAAAGTGCTCCAGCTAAGTTAGCAATCTTCTCATTTGTTTTTTATTTTGTTTTGGTTTTCAGTTTCCAGAATCCCACAGCTAGTTTGGCAAAGAATAATTTTTCCAAGCTGTTTTTTGCAGATGATTGTGGATCACACGTTATGAAGTCCATTTGACCATGCATTCCTGAACACTAGCAATTAAAAAATAGTATATGTAAAAAGAGTTACTTTTCAGGACACAATGCAGTTAAATGTGGAAGTTATAAGGTAATAACTGGGACCAGAGTTGTTGGGTGTAACAGGTACAATTTTCTGGTTCATTTCAAATTTACATTTTAAGAGGAATTTTGGCAAGAATTCTTTTTTGAAATGTTGCTGTTCTCTTACCAAGCCTGAGTTGTTTTCTTTTATTTATTTTTTATCAACTAAGAATAAGGCGGGAAATACAAAGAGTAAAAGGAAGTAGGGGGAAAGGAAAAGGGTTGGGGGGTAGGAAAACACAAAGTATACAATATCCAATCTATTCATGTTACGATAACAAATCAACTTTCCGCTTTTTTACAATTTGATTACCCTCCAGCTTTCAACTTACAGTTAGAGTACGTCATTGTTGTTTAGTCGTGTCTGACTCTTCGCAAGCCAGGCCCTCCTATCTTCCACTGCCTCCTGTAGTTCTGTCAATTTCATGTTGGTTGCTTCGCAGACACTGTCCAGCCATCTCATCCTCTGTCGTCCCCTTCTCCTCTTGCTGTCATACTTTCCTAACATCAAGGTCTTTTCCAAGGAGTCTTCTCTTCTCATGAGATGGCCAAAGTACTGGAGCCTCAGCTTCAGGACCTGTCCTTCCAGTGAGCACTCAGGGTTGATTTCCTTCAGAACAGATAGGTTTGATCTCCTTGCAGTCTAGGGGACTCTCAAGAGTCTTCTTCAGCACCACAATTCAAAAGCATCAATTCTTCAGCAGTCAGCCTTCTTTATGGTCCAGCTCCCATACATCGCTACTAGAAAAACCATAGCTTTGACTATGCGGACCTTTGTCAGCAAGGTGATGTCTCTGCTTTCAAAATGCATGCTGGTGGCCTGAAGCCCACCTCTCCATGCTTTGTTGAGTAGACCCTTCAAGAAGAGCAACTGGGCAGGAATACCTCTGAAGATTGCTAAGCATCAGAAGTAAAAAATGTGGATGAATGTGAAACAGATAAGCAGAGCTATTGGGAAATATCAGTGGCATCACTGAGGAGGTTTGCTGCAGACTTCCTCACTAAAATGAAGGTTTTGATGATGTTTTCATAGATCACAATACAGAATGTTCAAAGAGGAGAGGCATCATTGGGAGGTGTCAAATACCCTGATATCTTTTGGAAGTCCAACACAGGCAGGAATGCAACAACAGGGAGCAAGTGGGTTGGGTGAGGGGATGCCAATAAATAATAAATTCATCTCCTGAAATTTTGGAGTAAGGTACACCCGCCATCTCAGTCTACTAGTTTTCCCCAAGTGAACACAATCCTTGCTTGTTGACAACTTCCATCTTCCAAAAGGTGAGGAATGACAACTAAATCAGCTATCTGTGATCTGGTTCTCACTAACATGGAAGAAGTGGAAACAGTGAGAGCATTGGGTTGAAATGACCACAATTTCTTGAGAGTTATTGTACTGAGAAAAAGAAAAGAAAAGCTGAGAAAAGTATAATGAGCATTCTGGACTTCCAGGAAGCTGATTTCAATAAGCTGAAATACTGGAAGGGACCTCATGGTCAGGAATACTCAAAGAGGAAGGACACACAATGGGCATGAGAAAGAGGAAGGACACACAATGGGCATGAGAAAGAGGAAGGACACACAATGGGCATGAGAAAGAGGAAGGACACACAATGGGCATGAGAAAGAGGAAGGACACACAATGGGCATGAGAAAGAGGAAGGACACACAATGGGCATGAGAAAGAGGAAGGACACACAATGGGCATGAGAAAGAGGAAGGACACACAATGGGCATGAGAAAGGAAAGTTGGAAGCATCTAAAAACAAAACAAAACAGATTGCTTCAGATAAGCTGAGATTTAAAAGGGACATGTGTGAGAAATGGAAGCAGGGGCAAATCACCCAAGAAGAGCAACCAGCAACTGCAAAGAGAAAGTTAGAATTATTAAAGATCAAAATGA